AGAGAGGTGTGTGTGTGTGTGTGTGTGTGTGTGTGTGTCAGTTAGACCAGCAGACAGTTGGACTGACAGTTGGACAGTTGCTGGCGCTGGGCTCCTCTGCATAGTCTCTGGAAGTTGGACCCAGCCAGGGACCCTGACAGTTGCATTGGAGTTGTGAGTCCGGGCCCAGGACCTGCACCCTTACTCATCCATCCCCTTTTTGCCAAGATATTAATAGACGAAATTTGAGTATTGCTTCCGTCATGAATAAAATTTGTGCCCTCCTCTGCCCCCAGCCGACCATCACAACTTGCCCGGAAAACTTCTCGTCATCTCCCACCAGTCCGGCCCAGCCTGGCCCAGCCTGGCCTGGCCTCATTGTCCTTTGCGATGCTTCAGTCTTCAGTCTCCTTCTTCTTCGTTGTGCTGTGAAAACTTTTCAGAATGTCCGAATCGCCGAGCATTCAACGTCCATTCAACTGTCTGTCTGTTTTTGTGGCTTGGGTTTTTTCTCTATTTGTTCATCTTTTAATTTTAATGATGCCTTCTGCAGAAATGTAAAATGCTTTCGCTTGCTGCAGACCAAAGCAACATTTTGGGGCATGTGCATGGCTCTGAAAAGGTAGCCAGGAGGAATGCTCTGTAATGAGATTTATTCGAAAGGAAATGAAAGGATAGAAGAAACCACAGAAATAGAATTCCGAAAAATGCTTTGCTTTGTATACGGGAAATTCTAATCAAGAAAATCGAAATATTAATCGAAATTGATATTTTAACGGCAGCTCAATCATTAGGGAAGCACCTCAAAGAAGTAGAGTTTGCCACATCAAAGGGATCAACACTGGAATTGCAATCTGCGCAAAATGGAACGACGGCATCAGGGCCAGGGAAAGGGGAACGCAGTGAAACGGAACGAAACCACAAAACGAAATGCGGTAAAACGCAAAAACTTTTCCAGAATCAACTACTAAAAGATTTATGGTATCAAAATAGTGCCACATAAAATATTCACACCTTCGCCTCGACTGCCAGAATCTAACGACTTCAGCTCTTTGGCTTCATGGGTGTGGTGTGGCACCAGGGGTGGGGCAATGGGGCACACTGCGGACACTGTGGGGCACAACCAACTGATGCCAGTGGCTCGATAAAGCCATTGTTTATACACGCAGCAAGGGCAGGAGGAACAGAGGCAGGGAATTGCATTTTGGGCCATAAGTTGGCAACATTTTTTTTTATGCCTTCATCATGCGGTCAGCATAAATTTTTTATCGTCTTTGGCGCTGATTCGTCGGTACCCTGCCCCTGTCCCGACTGTTTCAGTTGCCAATTTTGATGTCTGAATGCCATAAATCAATGCGCTTAAAGTCGCAAAAGAAAAACCCTCTCTAGGCCAAGAGGAAAAACCGGAATGAATGAAAACGTCGACTTGTTGATGATGAATCTTGCTTTGATCAAGACATATAAACCATTTATTGGAATAGCATTGTTATCCTCTTGGTACATGCGCGTGTGTGTGTGTGTTGGTTGTTGATCTTGCTTTCATCTGTTTAAGTGTACTTTTAGTTGTTATTGTTGTTAATGCTTGCGGAGGAGACTGTACAAGACAGGATGTGTGTACATTGCATCCACTGATGCTCCAAACATTTAAAATGTTACAAAAAAGTGTGGATTGGGGGGATCATAGCAATGTTTCATCAACGCCAGACCTTGTTCATTGATTTGCCTAAACAGAAACCAGAAAGGTATAGAAAAAGAATTAGAAAAGTAAGCTAGCAGTTTGCCTTTGCTTTGGAGCCGTCACAAAACTCACCAGAATTAAATGAAGTGTTGCCCTTGGTGTCCCGAAGTGAAAACATGTTTGGTGAGCTATGGAAAATATGACAAGAAATGTCAAAATGTGTGTTAGTGTTTTACTCAACTCACTTTAGGCCATTGCGCACATCCCGGTAGTTGTTGTTCATCATTTCGTATTGCGATTTCATGCGCTGATGATTTTGCTGGGCTTGCTGCTGCTGCACCTGCTGTTGTTGCTGCAGTAGCTGCTGCTGTTGTTGTTGGGAGGGATTCCCGCTGTACTGCCACATATTGTTGCTCATCATGGGTTGACTGTTGCCATGGCTGCAGCTCCAATTTCCCGGGCTCTGACTGCAATTGGAGGCTAAACCAGCTCCACCGCCGCCGCCGCCGCTGCCGCCCCCTGTGAGACGTCCTTGGTGTTGCATTTGCGGCATTTGGGTAAACGGCTGCATCGGCGGCATCTGCGACATCTGAGGTATTTGGGACATCTGGTGCATGCCACCCATCTGCGCCATGCCACCCATCTGGGGCATGGAGGACATTTGCTGCATACTCGACATGGGCTGAAGATCCGCTATGACAGCGTTTACGCCCGGGGCATCGATGGTGCCCATCGAATTGCCCATCATCGGCACCATGGTCATGCTGTTCAGCGGCGTCACGGCGCCAATGGGCAGGTGCGAGGACATGGTGCCCAGGGGGGTCATGCCATTGCCCGACGGCATCATGCCCAAGGGCAGAGGCTGCATGCCGCTGCCCTGCATCGGATAGGACATCTGACCGGTGGACATGGGCGGCATCTGCATCGGGGGTAGGTTCATCTGGGGCTGGTTCATTGGCCCCATGGACATGGGCATGCCACCAGACCCTTGGCCCTGGCCCTGTCCACCATTCTGTTGCATGCCCATTTGAGCGGACATGTTCATCATCTGCAACGTAGAAGGCAGATGGTAATCAGTCTTGCAACACGCGGTGGCAACCCGTACCTTATTGGCTTCTGCATTCATGCCGAAATCAGCTTCATAGGGAACCGAGCAAAAATTCATTTCTAAAATTGTTTCACAATAAAATCAAAACTCTAAACTAAAATACAAATTTTCACAAGAAAAATTTAGAAAACGGAAATAAAAAAAAATAACTTTTTATATAATTTTTGTTGTGTGAAAGAGAGAGATCTGAATCTATCGATGAACTGCCTACGACTGAGGATTTGTGAACTTCTGGGTTGGCCTCAACGACAGTCCCTCTCAAACGGCCTCCTATGATCGGGGAAAACTCTTGAAATTTAAGTGAATTTTCCATTTGAGTATTGTTTTCTGTGGGAATGGCAGTAGGCGATGATAGTGTGCTCTCTACCATTCCCTGTCCCCTGGGTGAAGCGTGATCAGGCCACGCCCACATGGTTGGCCTCCACTTGCACTTGGCTCCATGCCAGCCAGAGGCCGCCCCAGAACAATTAATTGTATCCCTGGCTTGTCATTTTATTGTTTGTGTATCTACATAAAAACGGGAGGGACACGAAGGTGGATGGCTAGTGTCCATGCCTTCAGCTGCCATGCCATGCCATGCCATCCTGGGAGCTGTCTTTGGACATATCCTTTTGGCCATGGTGGTGTCGTGGCGGCGTCGCTGGTGCAGTTGCCACACCATTTATGCCATTAAGTCATTAGCTTTGTTTAACAAATAACAAACTGTCAATGAGTTGATTAACGATGTTTTTCGCATGAACTGCAATTAGCCGTCTCCAGCGCTGTGGCAACTCCAGGTCTCTTCGTAGTCTCTCTCTCTCTCTCTACCGTCTGCTGATAAATGGGTGTGATTTGGGCTGCCAGCATGGCAGAGAGCCAGGGGTCTTGACTTGGCGTATTCCTAATGCGGCAACGAAGGGAGTGTGGAGTGTGTAGCACTCGTTATTGATGCGCCGCCAGTCCCCTGCTAAACTGCCGTCACTTGGCAATTATTGTGTATTGTGCTTCAAGTCAATGGCATTTGCAAATGCCAAAGCCACAGCCACAGCTACAGCTCCAGCTCCAGCTCCAGCTATAGCCACGGGTTGGAACACTTCATCACACCCGTAGTCGTAGGAGCAGCTGGAGACAGCGCCTGTGATGGCAGTAGAGAGTCATCGTTAACGCAATTACACCCGTTGACAAGTGTAATGTCAGCCAACTGTGGCCGACATTCACCCATTCCTCCCGTTCTGTTCCCATTGGCAGCCCATCCGATATGGCCATGCCATCATCATCATCAACATCCTATCCGCCTGCCAGTTGCCTGACGCTGACGCTGTCGACATGACGCGCTCCCATCACTCACGCGTTTTCCCCCACTTGGTAACTCATTTTAGTCATTTGATGACGCCTCGTCGTGGCTCATTTTGATCTTTGCATCAGGAGCGCAGCATTTTGTGATAAGATTGTACAAGGTTTATGCATATCTCTGCCATCTAATACTACCAGAAACACCTTGGCGTTGAGTCCGCTCCTGTTTTAAAATATTTACACTGTAATTATTATGCAAAATGCACTTTACTTCATTATTTACGATATGGTGGCACTTCGTGAGCAGCGTTCTGAACAAGTGGTTGGACCAGGGGCCGTGGGGAAGACAATAGAAATACTAAATACTGTATATTTAAATGGAACTTATCTCCTAAGGGCACGCGCAGTATTTGTATGTCCGCAAATTATAAATTAGTTTGTTTGTGTGTGCGGTCGCTAATTGGCTTTCCCAGAAGTTAATTACACTGAAAATGTTGAAAATTGGACTTGTCAAAAACATTTTTGACATTTGCCGCCAGACCCACTCTACAGCACGCCACTCCCACTCCCCACTCTGCAGCTTCCATCCACGCAATCATTCGCAGGAAATTAGTTTACAAACTTTTCCCGTTTTTGCATTTCGCTTAAATTTGGAATTTTTTGTTGACGCCTAACCCTCATTATTATTATTATTATTATTATTGCGAGTACATAGTATTATTACTGCAAAAATAAATGAGGTAATGCCATTAATCAAGTGACATGAACTGCGTGGCTGTGGCATTTGTGTGACAATTACACGAGCCCGCGGCCATTTTCCAAAACCAAATTAAGTGCCCAGAGTGTTAATGAATGTGTCGAAATTGCCAAAATAATTATTTAAAAGTTTTGCCCATTGAAATGAAACACATAATTGCAAAATCCTCAATTTTGTTGATATTTGTGAAAGTATTTGATTTGATTAGATTTGATTGCAATTGATTTTTATTGCATAGCTAAGCCAGATTTATTTGACAACATTTGTTGATGAATTTTAGGAAATTCTACGCAGAAAATGGGGGTTTAAAAATACTCCAATGAAAGACTGGAATATGAACTAATAATTCTTTCCACGTAGTGGGGCGTAAAATAATCTTTGATTTATTTTTAAACAGGAAAGAAATCTTTTTACTTGTTACAACTTTCCTCTAGATGTACTCGTAACCTGCCGGAACCGTGGGGGAGCCGGGGCAAAGTCTTTGATTTAACACCTTAAACAGAGCTGCAAAACAAAGGGGCCTCATTAATTAGGGATGTTAAGATGATGGAAACTAATCTGCTAAAAGCACTAGGTAGCAGCGTGCCTCTCTATCCAGCTTTGGCTTCCTTCAGGCAAGCAATTTGTCTGTCAGGATCAACGGCAAGCACTGTGCAGAGGAGGCGTTTTGGGGCGTGCCATTGTTTGGCACTGGTTCACATGCGCTTAATGCACTCGGCTTCACCTCCGACAATGTTGCAGACGGAGGGACGGAGGACGGAGGGGAGAACACGGTTGCAACAAAATAAACCAGGATGCTGAGAGAATAAGAGCCCAGAAGAGACTAGCAGCTAGCTGGGTCCTGGCAAGGACTTCAAGCAGAAATCTGTGCAAATCAGAAAATTGGAAAAACTAGGGAGCAGGCAGAGGGGCGATGGCAAAAGGGGCAGAATGTAGTAGATGTTGCAAGCAGACTGCTTGCTGCCAGCTAAATGCCCAGCGAAGTAGAAGCTGGAATCAGAATCTAGTCCTCCATTAGAGTCGGCCATAAAATAAGCATCGGTTGTATCGGTAGATGCAGCAGCAGAAATAGCAGCTCCCAATGGCCTGCCTGCTGACTGCCGAATGCTGCCTGCCTCCTGCCAGCTGCCTTAAGCCCATGCATGACGCTTGGCTGAGTGCAAATTCAATTAACTTGTTACAACACAATCTCAGGATCAGCTTTGGCATCGGCATCGGCATCGGCCTCAGTCTCAGATCCAACATCAGCGTCTGCCCAGACGGGGATTGGGATTTGTCAGTGCATGAAGGATACAGTGTGTGTGTGTGTGTGTGTGTGTGTGTTTGGGTGTGCATTGGAAACTAAAAACTACTCGGAATGTTTATGCAACATTTCTTAGCTCCTGCATTGGTCCTTGGCCAACTTTTTGTTTATTTTATTTTGAATTTTAATTCGCAATCAAATTGGTTTTTGCGGTGAGCGCGAGAATAACACTCGTACACTCGTACATTGATTCGATTTAAGCCCGGTTAGTAAATGTATTTTTGCCTCATTCAATTAATAAAAGATTGCAAGCGGCTTCAGGGCCTTTGGCAGCGATGGCAAACATCCATAACCAATTGACATTTACATTGGCCCAGATACACGGACCGAACGAGTGTCTACTCGTGGATGCATGGCAGAGCATTCGATGCACAGAGACGATTGAGGATGCGCATGAATGGTGCGGGGGCTAGGGATGCCTGGGTGAAAGTCATGCCATTGGACATGCATTTTCAAACAGATTCGAATTGAAATTAATAATCAAATGTCAATTACTCGCTGGATTAGCATATGCACCAGCCAAAGCGTAAACAGACGAAAAGACAGAAAGCTCTTGAAACAACTCTGGCAAATGGAAATGGGTGAAGGCTTAGCGGGCTTACAACAGATAGACTAACTCATAAAATTCCTATCCTTAATACAAAATTCATGATAATCTCAGGTGAGAAATCGCTTGGCTGCTTTCACTTCAAGTAACACCACCCACAACCCACAACCCACAGCCACAGCAACACCCAACCTTCATCCTATGCTACTGCTACCTTCTAGAGACAATTGTGCCCCCGAGGAAATTATTCAGTATGCTCCCGGACCGTTTCTTTTTGGTTTTTTGCAACTGAATCTTAAAAATACATCTACATTGCCCCTTGGTCCATAATTTATGACCTGTTCCAGTGCCCGTTTCCATTATGAATTCATTAGCACCTGAGGGCTAACCCAAACAGAACAAAAAAAAACATGCAAAATGAAAAAGAGAGAAATTCTCGGCTTGACGATGCGAATAAAGCCATTTAAGAAGACAGCAAGGGAACAAAACACAAAAAAAGGGAAAGCGCCATAAAGGCAGAGTTCAACGGGGGCCAATGTCAAAAGGTTTAAAATTAAAGCCAAGCGCCCACGCGTTCCCCGGACACTCCCTAGCGGGCCGAGCGTGGGTTGGGTGGGGTCAAAGGTCTTCAAATTAGTCTGACTTTTTGTGGGTTTCACTGCCCCCGACGCTTGACTCTTTAATGGGCACGGCACGATTCGGCACGGCTTTTGCTGGTGCTTGCCAGTCTCCCGTCTCTTTGCATATCACGGATTGTTATATCAAAGCCAACAGAGACCGAAAAACGCTGCACAAACGATGCGATCCGTGTGGGACGTGGGGGGACGCTTTTGGCCACAAATCGATGGCGTAAGGCCACAAACCCCCACACCAACCATTAGCCAATGCGCCTCACGTGCGCGCCGAGTCTGCTGCAGTCTCAGCTGGCTGCATTTGCAATTAGTTTGGGGACTCCTGCACTCCGGCAGGACTTGCAAGACGCAGGCGGCCGGACTCGGGACTTGCTCTAGTCAAGGATTTGCAGTGATTTTGCGGCGCTAAGCAGCTAAATGGCCGTGACAGCTGCTCCCCAGCGGAGGGAAATCGAAGCCAGCCAAAAGACAGGGAGGGCGCAGCAGTCCAGTCAAAATCTTGCGACATTTTATGACATCCTTCTGTCTGCAGCAGCAGTCCTCGTCTGCTCGTCTACATCTTGTTTGCTGTATCCTTGGCAAGTGTCACCTTTAAGGCGTTGCCAGCAAATCAACGTCACGTCCGCCAATTCGTGAACAAAA